CCTTCTCCATCGAGCAATGCCATCTTGCTTCTGAAGGCCGGGCTTCCATCTCCTTACATGTCACTGTCAAATGTGGATGAGACCAGTGTTGTTTTTCCCTCTTCCTTCTGGAAACCTAACCTGCGCCTCTCATTTTTAAATGAGTATGCCTTCACTAGGAAGGATTGTCAGTCTCTAAAACAGAAGTGGAGGTGCCCTGGCTGAAGTGGGTGCAGAGGACTCACAGCCCACCCAGCTCCTCACAGCCCTGGTGCCCATCGGCACCTTTACCAAAACTCCCAGAAGCATGGTTTGAAACCATCACTAGGTGACTTCCAGACCCAGTCTTCATGAGGCTTGGGCTGCCCCAATCTGCATGCCCACTGCCACTACCTAGAACCTGCTTCTGAGCTGGGCCAATCACCCCTGCCCACAAGGTCTTCCGAAGTGTGCCATGCCTGCCTGGGGATTCCTACAGCACCGTGGGCTATGAGCACCCAAGTCCGGCGCCCCTGTTCCTGGGTCTCTGTGACCCTTGCAACTGCTCTGGCACCTGCAAATCATTCATGGCCACTAGGAGCAGAGAGCAGCCGGGAGACACTGGGCCTGGGTCTCACTCAAGCTGCTTTGGCTCAGACCAGTCGAGTAGACACTGTGGAAGGGCTGTGCGTCACGCACTAACGTCGAGGGTACCAGATGGGGCGTTTTGCTGAGGAGTTTTACTCAGCTCAAATTTCTTTTCCTCAGTGGCATCGGTAACAACGTTTTGATTTGACTTTAGCTGCTGTAATGACTGTTTAACTCAACGCTCTGTGGCCTGAGTCCTCTGGATGACCCGCAGGCTAATGACATGGCTCCACGCACTCACTCTCCTCCCACCGCCAAGCACAGCAGTAGGTGTCACACACTGACATGCTTGCGAGCTGAAGAAACACGGGCAAGGTCCTCAATATCGGCGACTCAATTTCCTCACCTATAAAATGGGCCTAAGTGGTCCTGTGGGGCTGCTGAGAAGGTGTGGTGTTACTGCAGCTACA